TGGGAGGAGGCCTCGATCAAAGGACAACTGAAAAATGTGCGCAAGCGGTCTGCAGAAAACCCGGCGAGCTGCATCCATTCGGGACACCACGTCACCCTTAATCTGTCCATTCGGCAACAAGCTCAGCCATTAATCCCCGGAGTTGCCTTCTCCTGTTCAGTGATGTAGCTCGAGAATAATTTTGTCTTTCCGGTATTTATGGACAAGCCAACCTACGTAGCTATCTCATTTACCCGTGAAATCTTTGTCTGCAGACCGCCAAAACTTGAAGCTAGTAAAGAGATATCATGGACGTAATCGAGATCAGATAGCCGGCGTCCGGGTGCAAGCTCAACACCATCGTCTTTACGTAGGACCTTCCCAGGAATCTAGTTAATGACATATTTGAATAGAATAGACCTCACATTGACTCATATGCGCATACACAATTGTGAAAACTCATCCTATCGGGCGTAAACAATGACCGATAAACTGTCGTAGGTAAATTAGGTAGTCAAACGGACTCATATGCGGAGGCCGATAGGGGTGTCATCAAATTGGCGTTTTGCGAAGGCGGAGACGTGATGGCTGTAACAGGAAGGCTATGCGTCCGGCACTGTACATTCGCGCATCAGATTCGGATGCTGCCATTGAAACCCAAGTAACCGCAGGCTGCGGTGTTGAGATATCTTCAGAGCGAATAGGTACCCAGTACATACACGGAAACGCGAACAGAGGTGAACTTCAGCCGTCTCCAAAAGTTGCCTTTTCACAGCATCCTCAGACGGCGTTACAAAGAGACCGCGGAGCAACCGTCAGACATTAGGTAATGAGACTGAAAGGCCTACTGCCATAGTAAGAAACGGCTGGAGTCGTTAAGCGGGTTTGGGTGCATTTGCGGACCGAAAAACTACTTCATGAGATAACAAATTTGCTGTGCAATACAGCTCAGAATTCGTGCAACATGCCGAAATTTGCAAAAGATTGATACGCACTCGCTCATAGTGATACTCGCTATCGTGTAGTCTATTCTAGAGTCATTTCAGTGAAGACAGGATGCCGGTTTTTTAGCGAGCTTCTTCGTAGCCGCTAACAAAAAGTATGTACTGTAAAAAATGGCTACTTAGTATGCATTTTTATAATTAATTATGCCTACCTTTATAAATACAAACACATTTTATGGAGAAAATGCACGAAAATATTCCTTTTTTTACTTGTTTTGTGATAACCTACGCCCTAGTTAACATTTATACCTGAAGAAAGGGGACCTTTTGGTTTTAAGAAAGCTTATAAATTACCAAATAGTTTTGAAACATACCGACTGCTAAAACTGAATTCAAGGTTTATAATTTATGTGCTGTGTACGGCTTGAGAAAGAGGTCACAATAAATAGCAATAGATGTGGACCACGCTGTATATATTATAGGCACCATTAATAAAGTGAATGAAGACCTCGCAATCCTAAAAAATCTCTTAGTTCGAAATTTTTCTAAAACCGAAGGAAACCCTTTCTTTAAGCATAAAATTTAAAGGTGTACTTTTTTACCAAATGAGTACAAGAAAGAATTTTTCGTGGAGGTTTTCCATAAAATATATATTTAAAATAATAAAGGCAGTCAAAATCAATTATAAAAATGCCTACTATTTAATTAGCCACTTTTTACAGTACATACGTTTTGATAGCGGTCAGAAAGAAGCTCGTTATAAAGCCTGCATCCTACCGTGGCTGAAAT